TGTATAACTCCTGGGCACAAGCGATCTGCCCACCTCGGCCTCCCAAAGTGCTAGCATTATAGGCGTAAGCCGTGGCACCTGGCCAGAGCACTTTTTAAAAGGAGAAAAGTTAGAGGACTTAGGTTACCAGGTTTTAAGGCATATTATAAAGCTATAGTAACACAGACAGTGTGCTATTATCAAAAAGAGAGACAGACAAATCACTGGAACAGAAAAGAGAGCCTCAAAATAAACCAACACATATATGGCCAACTGATCCCAACAAAATTGCCACAGCAATTCAATGGGGAAAGAAAAGTCTTTCAACAAGTGATGCTGATACCTTACAGCGGGGAGGAAAAGCAGCTGAAGATCCTCACGCGGGAAATTAAAGCAGCTGAGTGTATAGACATTCACTGTGACAGCCAGGTCACTCCAGCTCTGCCACTATACCTCTCTAAGCCTCAGTTTACTCATCCACAAAACGAGGAAAATTCCAGATATACACACCACAGGGTCATTTTGAGGACTACGGAAGCTAACAACATATGAAAGGGATTCCAGTGCCCAGCAAAGGGAAAGTCCTCAATATTTAGCCCAAACCTAGTATTTCCATCTTCTCTCTCTCTCCTCCATTCTGAGACCTCACTAATCTATGACTATCTATTGTCTTACCTATTGTTTATTTTCACAGGAAAATAATGAGTCCAAATATTCAGGTCAAATCAACACTCCAGGTTGATACGCTGAGTTAGTCTTGTGGTTCCTTAACACAAGTTGCTCTTCACAGCCAAACTTCTGGAAATTTCCAACCCTATCTCCATTCCCTCCCAACCATTCCTCAAGGACTTACAATTAACCTTTCACCCAGCACCCTGAGAATGCAGCATCTGTCACCGAGGTTACTGATGACCTCCTCCGATGACCTCCACATGACTAGACCAAAGGACACATCTTTCGTGTCAGCCTAAGTCAGCAGCACTGGGTGCAGCTGGTCGGCATTCCCTCCACTTCACAGGAGTCCTCCTGGCTTTCTCCTGGCCCTCTGGTTGCTCTTCAAACCTTCTTTGCTGGTTCCTCCGCCTCCCTTTCAAAAGCCCGTTTCTTGGGCTCCTCCTAGGCCCTCTTCACCGTTCACTTTCTGACAAGGGTCATAAACTCAACCGCCTACAGCTGTCAAGCAGGGACTCTAAGTGAACCTGCCTGGAATCACTGCAAAGAATACCTTTGAGGGTGATGGGGCCTATAGCAAACTGAAGACCATATCCATTGGCTTTCTAATGGGGCAGCTACCATTCGGCTTCAGGCAATTGCTGCCAACCAGAAATGTCATGTTAGTGTCGTTAGACTATCTAACTTTTCAAAAGAAGCCAAAGTCCAGATTTTACTATAAAATCCCAATATTTATTTTTATGGAGACAGGGTCTCTGTTGCCCAGGCTGGAGTGCAGACTCACAATCACAGTTCACTGCAACCTCCGCCTTCCGACTATAGGCATGCGCCACTATGCCCGGATAATTTTTGTGTATATATATATATATATATATATTTTTTTTTTAGAGACGGGGTTTCACCATATTACCCAGGCTGGTCTAGAACTCCCAGGCTCAAGCGATCTGTGCACTCAGCCTCTCAAAGTGCTGGGATTACAGGTGTAACAATATTCATTGTTAGCCTTAATTAAAACCAACCAACAAACCAACTAACCACATTTTGGGCCAAAACAAAAAACATGTTAGAGGCCCGAATACAGAAGTCAGGCCCCAGTTTACAGTATCTGTTCCATCAATTCTTCCGAGGCAGCCAAATCTACTTCTGTGGCTCCATACCGAAAATGTCCTCGTTCTCAGTGGCCCAGCCTTCCTTCTCAGGCTCCAAAGCCATCTAAACAGCTGCCTGCTGAGCCATCTCTACCCACCTGCCTCACAGGCACCTCCAGCTCAGCATTTCCGCACAGCCCAAACCTGCTCCTCCTCTTAATGAAGGACACCCTGAAATGGTTCAAGCCCTCCCTCTTTCCCGCCTTCCTCACCCATTCACAAATCCAGTCCTTTCCACCTCCTAAATATCAATCTGCTCACCGCTGTGCCTCCCAACTGCCACCATCTTAATAAACGCCACTATCATATCTCCTGCTGAAACTCTCCTCCACTCACCATGCTGGAGCTAGAGGAATCTTCTAAAAATGCAGCTCTCCCGTAGACCAACCCCTTCAGTGACTCTCCATTGTCCTTAGGATCAAGTTCCAAATCTTGTCTCTACAACCTCATCCCTGTGGACACCTCCAGCCTCATCTCGCATCACCTTCCTCGTCCCTTACTGAAGCTCCGTTCCCTGTACCTGCAACATATTCCCTCCCCCAACACACAAACGCTTGAATGCCTCCCTGACTCACACTGAGCCTTTAGGCCACTGGAAGAGGTGAGAACTCCCTACCATACGTGTCCAGAGCTCCACCTGCTTCTGCGTTGGTGATATTCATCAAAATGCGTCTTATTAAATGAATGTTTTCCTCGTTAAATCCTAAAATCCATTAGGACACTGTGTTTCACTTGCTCATTACTATATGCCCAGTGTCCACCCTAACCCCTGGCACACACTAACAGCTCACTCAATAAGTAAATATATGGGACAAATTAGTAAGATCTTTGAAGGACTGCCCCATGTTTTCACCCTCCTCCCTCACACACACACACACACACACACACACGCAACAACAACGTAGTGGGCACTCAAATACTGGCAAATGAATACATTAAAAAACCAACAACATAGCAGCCTCTTCCCAGGCACACCTGCCTCCACTTTCTTCCCTCCCTTTACCATTCCAGGTGCCACCACTTAACTACTCCTCCTGGATTCCCTTCTCAAAATTACCCACTGCTTCCTGGTAACACCCGACTTCTTTTTCTGAGACGGAGTCTCACTCTGTCACCTAGGCTGGTGCGCAATGGTGCAATCTTGGCTCACTGCAACCTCCATCTCCTGTGTTCAAGCGATTCTCCTGCCTCAGCCTCCTGAGTAGCTGGGATTACAGGTGACTGCCACCACGCCCAGCTAATTTTTTGTGTGTTTTTAGTAGAGACGGGGATTCACCATGTTGGCCAGGCTGGTCTTGAACTCCTGACCTTGAACTCCTGACCACAGATGATCCACCTGTCTCAGCCTCCCAAAGTGCTGGGATTACAGGCGTGAGCCACCACGCCTGGCCATGGACTTCTAAAGCTAGAAAAAATTCTCCACAGTCTAGTCTATCCCACCCATCAGGTGAACGGGATTTAACTCCAACTCTGAAGGACTGTTTTGATTACGTAGAGGACTTGAAGCCCAACACAGGCTCAGTAGGGAAAAAGCATCTAGATTGATCAGCAATGTCTGCCGTATCAATTAGCATGTCTGTCATGGGCTAGTAATGGAAAGTCAGTATATCTGCCATCCAGTTACCAACTATGAACTGGTGGATACTTCTCCAACTGGGATCTTTGGATCCTTAGAGACATGTCCTTCATAGACATGCTGGGAATCTAAGAGTTCTCTATGAGAAGTGTTCTAATTTGATAACTTCTTTATGAAAACAACCCATAAGATTTTTAAATAGAGAGGTCAGATTGCTGTCAGGGAAAGGATACCAGCTCTTTTTCTGTACTAGAGCCAGCTTCCTTAAGTGGAGGTTGATCTTCATCAGACTTTTAGATTCACTTCAGACACAGACATGGCACATGGACATGGACATGAACATGGACATGGTAAAATGGAACTTCCAGATTATAGACAATGGAAGATAGAAGGGACACCATTAGAAACTGTCCAGAAGAGGCTGGCTGCAAAAGGGCTAAGGGATCCATGGGGCCGCAATGAAGCTTGGAGATACATGGGTGGCTTTGCACAAAAGGTTACCTTTTTTGATGTATTCTTTAAAGGATTCAAATGGGGATTTGCTGCATTTGTGGTAGCTGTAGGAGCTGAATATTACCTGGAGTCCCTGAATAAAGATAAGAAGCATCACTGAAGATAATACCTGGAAGTATCATAGTGGTTTCTTAACTCTCCAAAATAAGATTTCTTCACTATAGCCTACTTGACTTGTTTGTCCCTTAAAGAATATTAGTATGATTTAATAAAGTAAAATAAAATATATATATGCCAAGAAAAAAAAAAGATTTTTAAATAAGCAAACATTAGTAGGCAAATTCAGTGTTATCATTTACAGATGTGTTTATGAACACGATGGAGCCAAGCAGTATTACTACACTTATAACCAGCCACGAAGACAACATGGACAGAACATGTAAATGGATCCCTGTACCAGGTGAAGGCCAAAATGACACAATTTTGCAGTAATTAGAATAAAGTGGTAAGTGAATTATCATATGGGCCACAGTTGATTAGGCCTGCTAAATTCAAGAGACCTTGAGCTGTATTATATAGCATGGTCTCTTGAAAGGAAGAAAACACTTTTTTTTACTTGAAAGTAAGTCAACAGTGAGAATCTATGCAAAATGATTTGCCTTTAAAACAGTCTATACATGACTCATGACCTTACCTGTCAGGGATATTTTAAAGGAGATTCATGAATGGGGTGGAAGATTGGATGTACCACAGGTATACAGACATATACAGTGCATTTGTCCATAACAATATACAGTATGTATCTAAACGACACATAACAATACAGGCCCCAGCACTAATCCTCAGCTTTCACACCCCCATTCTTTTCAATGTGCTCTGAGCTTACCGAGTTCATCCCTGAATCTAACCAAGGTCACAAATGTAAATATCAGCGGATGGCAGCCAGGTAATCAATGAGTGAAGCTGATAGGACACAAGAAAACATTCTCTTGAAATCTTCAGCTTCTTTCTCTCTATATATATTTATTTTTTCTCAGTGTGAACAGAAATGTAAGTATGGGAAACATTTCACTTTTTCCTTATCTTCACTGAAAGAAAACACCATCATGAGTATAAATGCCAATTGCCACCTAGCCTTCCCTTGGGGGACTGCGACAGAGAGTGGTGTAAACGATGACAAAGTAGAGTTCTTGCTCTGTTTGAAAGGGCCACCATCACCCAGCTCCAGGCGGTGGGTAGGAATTCAGGATTAGTGTTACCAGGTCTTCCAATTTTTAATATATACAAATAAATGAAGAAATTTGGATTTTGTATGGAAGTCTTCCAATTTAAAAATTTTGGCAACAGATTCAAGAATTCTTCCCAAACACTGCGCTGGCCAAATATAACGTGTCTGCAACTCAGCTGGTTTGCAACTCTGCCAGCTGCCTCCTCCACCTCGGTCCTCTGGTATCTGCAGATCCTCCCCCATCCTCCCGATGGTCCTCCAAGGTCAGTATTCAGGATCGCCAAGGCCAGCCTTACTGCCGCTGACCTCCCTTCTCTGCAGTCCTGCGCGGGCACTCGGGTAGGCTCTCCATCCTCCACTGCCTCACTCAGCGGTGACCTAATCTCACCAGGTGTTTGTCCCGGCTCGCGCCTTACTCAATCCTCCGGGTCCCTCCCCAGTCACCAGCGACGCTTGTCAGTTCTCACTAAATATCCGGGGCCCAACCAAGTCAACTGGACCCAATGAAGGACCTCCAAGAAGTAGGAGGAGCAGAGCCTCACCCTCAACACCGAATGCCGTCGTGGTTCCCAGACCCCGAGCCACCCCAGGGCCGGCCCCAGACTTGTGCCCAGAGCTCCCCCCACGGGCGCGTGGGGCCCTGGGGTGCCCGCGGCCTTCCACGCCGGCAGCACGGCAGGGCTCGCTGCGGGGGATGTTCGGAGCGACCAGAAGCTGCGCCGCACCGCCCGGCCGGCCTCCGCGCAGCTCGCGATTTCCTCTCGGGGCTCCCCGTCCTCCTCCCGCCCCCTCAGGCCGCCCCCGCCCGGCCGCCCGCCCCCGCGGGTTTCACCCCGGCCCATCTCCCCGCACGCGGGGCCCGACGGCCCTCCCACCTCCGCCCGGGATCGCGAACCGCTAGCGGGTGTCGCCGGGCGGGGAAGCGCCGAGGCCGCGGCCGCTCCCGCTCCGCTCCCAGCCGCCGGTTCCCGGGAGCAGCCCCCGCCCGGCCCCGCCACCGCCTCGGCCCCGCGACCTCTCACCCGCCGCGCGGGTCCCGCCCGCGACCAGGGCCGCCCCCGCCCGCGCCGGCCCAGGCCCTCACCCGCGACAGGGTGAGGTCGGTCATGAGCTGCTCGAAGGCCCGCGTCTCCTCGGCCTGTCGCTGCGTGTGCAGCGCGATCTTCTCACTGAACTTCCGCGGGTTGGCGCTGCCCGAGCCCGGCGAGGCGGCCATGGCGCGGGCCCGCGCGGGCAGAAGCTGGAGACGGCGGCCGCGGGGCCTGCGCCTCGGCCCTCGCGTCTGTCCGCAGGCCGCCCCGGCCGCCGCCCGAAGCCCGTCGTCCGGCGCGACCCGGCAGAGGGGCCGCCGCGGCCCGGGACCCAGCGAGCGGCCCGGAGCGCGCCGAGGTCCGCCCCCCGCCCCGGCCTCGGTCTCCCGCCCGCCTCGGCCCAGAGTCTCCCGGGCCCCGCGCTCCTTCGCTGAGGGCTGCTCCCCGCTCCCCGGCCTGGCTCGGGACCCACCGCCGGCCACCCGGGAGGACCCCCGTCAGCCCGGCACAGCGCCCCGGCGTCAGGGGGCCGCCGCGGAGCCGCCCCGCGGAGCCTCTGCGACCCGGGCCGGCCCCTGCGTCTGCGCGGCGCGGAGAGCGCGGCCTGTGCCCGCATCCCCCGCCCCCAGCCCAATTACGAGGATTTTCTCCTCGGGGTGGTACCCGGGCGCCCGGACTTCCAGCAGGTCACCTCGGGCCCCTCAGGGGCGCGCTCGTTCCGCCCGAGGCCGAACGTCTGCCCGGAGCCCTGCGGCTCCCGGCCCCGGGCCTCCGGCCTGTTTTCCTGACCTCTCACCCCCGCCCGCACCCGCCCCCGTCAACCAAAGCTGTGCCTGAGCTTTAAAAACGGCCTCGCGCTCTGCACAGACCGCAGACGGCATCCGGCCCTGCAGCCGCCTCCGCGCCGCAGCCCCGGGCCCCTTTCCAGGTTCTTTCCAGGTCTCCCTGTGGCAGCGTCAGCAGGTGCCAACCCCACCTGGGAAAACCAGCGCTCAGCCTCCGCGCGTTTCCCCTTCTTTCGGGGGCGTCTCGCTCTGTCACCCGGGCTGGAGTGCAGTGGCACGATCTCGGCTCAACGCGGCCTCGACCTCCCGGACTCAAGCGATCCTCCCACCCCTGCCTCCCAAACAGCTGGGACCAAAGGCGGAAGCCACCACGCCCGGCTAGTTTAAAAATGTTTTTGTAGCAATGGTGTCTCGCTATTTAGCCCAGGCTGGTCTCGAACGCCTCGGCTTAAGCGATCTGCTTGCCTTGGCCTCCCAAAGTGCCGAGATGACAGGCGTGGGCCACGACTCCCGGCGAGTTTCCTCTTTGGAGTCCAAAAGCTACTCTCAGCATGAATGTTGACGTGCACAGAGATGTCCAGGAGAGCCCTGAGAATGTGTCAGTGTTTTGTAAAGTGGGAAATATTAGAGACCTTCAGAAGAGGACAGAAAATAATGTTAATACCACCCACGCCCCCTACTATCGAGATGAAACAGTAATACATTTGCTGCATGTACTTGGGATTTATTAAACACATACAAAATTAGACATAGCGACGGCCCCACTCTCATTTCTTCTTCCTCCCCAGAGACAGTCACCGTCCATATCATTCAAGTTTGTATTTTTATACTTTTTTATTTTTGTACTTTTATA